ATGCATGTTTAAAGAAAACATTCAAAAGTGAATCTGCAAGGCAGGTGTACCGTTCTCTGTCACTCGCAATGTTTTCCCTCAGCTGAACAGATGAATTGAGTACAGAGTGCAATACAACATTTTCAAAAAGCGAGAGAAGAGCAACATGATGATGAAAGGTCTTGAATACAGTATACTTCAACCTTATACATAAGTGAATGGTGGCCAGATGGTTCTTTTGAATCTTTGCCTTGAATCCCAGCCTTGACACATGTGTATTCTTCTTCATTCCCCAGGTCATTAGGATCAAACTTGAAAGTTTGATGTGTAATCTGCTCTTCTTCTTCAACCAAGTCAAGACCTTTGAAGAAATCTGTCTGTGTTTATGATTGGCCCAAGGACTGTGTTCAGATGTATATTCAGTTTTGGTCAGCACTACAATCACACCACTGACATCACTTTCCTGACTCTATACAACCCCAAAGCATAATTTGAGGCATTTGTGCTTAGGATGCAGAGCCACATCACATGGAGCCCAGAGATGTTCTTGGACACAGAAAAGTGCATCCACAAACACCATATAAAGCAGATGTTTGAGAGCGCGAGCTACGGCATAAAAGTACACATGAGTCAATGTCAAGGTGTGTTCTAACAGAAAGAAGAAGAAAAACATACATCATTCATGAGGAAATGTCGAGGTGTGAATTCGTAAAATAAAAATGTTATCACTGGCAGGCTTCAAACCTGCGCAGTCCAAGAGAAACAGATTTTGACTCTGATGATCAGTTGTTAATTTCAGCTTTAGCAAGTTTTGAACCCACACAGACAGATTTGGATTCTGTCGTATCAACTGCTTGGCTAAGACCAGTCAGATGTGCTACCAATGAATCCATTCAGAAGTGAATCCTCAATGTGCATTTGTCTGCATTTTGTCAGTTCTAACAATAATTTCTAATATCCTCCTTGAGTCAAATCATATGTGAATCCTCCATGCTATTGAAAGAACTGCCTTTAGGATTCACTTGTGAACAGGTCCATTGGAAGTGCATCTCACTGGTGTTAGTCAAGCAGTTGATATGACAGAATCTAAATCTGTCTGCGTGGGTTCAAAACCTGCTAAGATGAAATTATCAAGTGATCACCAGAGTCAAAATCTGTTTCTCTTGGAATGTGCGGGTTTGAAACTGGCCAATAATGAAATTATTTTCTATGCAAACACATCTTGATATCGTCTCATGAATCATTTTCTCAAAAACTCATCTCAACTGATGTTAGCCATGTCATTGCTAAAATAGATTCAAAATCTATTTCCATTGAAGTCTGCAGGTTTGAAACCTATTGAGTGACACATTTTTTGTATTAGAACATGTCTCAGATATCTGCTCATAGACAGCATTTCAAATGTTGATCTTCATTGGTCTTAGTCAAGTTATCACCAGAGTCAAAATCTGTTTCTCTTGAACTGTGCAGGTTTGAAACCTACCAACAATAACATTTTCATTTTTATTCTATGAAATCACACCTTCGCACTTCCACATGAATCTTAAAATGAATTGGAAGGCCTCAATTTTCTGGCGGCATCATGACTTTCCTGGAAGAGAAACCAAAAAAATTCAAAGCTGGCATATGGAACCACGTTCCACTGCTAGCCTTGCAGCGGCTTGTTTTATGATCCATGTCAACTGTCGAACATTGTCCGAGTCACTCTCTATCATATCCAACTCGATATGCATCAAACCTGAAAATATCAAACATCAGACATTAGGTTTCACATCGGCCAATCAGATATCAAACACACTCATGCTACCTATGTCTCATCCCATCCTGCTAGTCCTGCTAGGTACGCAGTTCATTATTTCTCACATTACTCACATCATACACGGTGTTATTACATGTTTTCCCATAGTCTGCAGCACCTCTTGTCTTATTACAACTCAACTAAGACTGATGAAGATCAGTGTCCAAGAGACTGTCAAGGTGCATTTTCATGAAATAAAAATGTTATCATTGGCAGGTTTCAAACCTGCGCAGTCAAGAGAAACAGATTTTGACTCTGATGATCACTGGACAATTTCATCTTTAGCAGGCTTTGAACCCATGCAGACAGATTTGGATTCTGTCATATCAACTGCTTGGCTAAGACCAGTCAAATGTGCTACCAATGAATCCATTCAGAAGTGAATCCTCAATGTGCATTTGTCTGCATTTTGTCAGTTCTAACAATAATTTCTAACATCCTCCTTGTGCCCAATCAAATTCAAACCTGCTCAGTCTAGGATAATCAGATTTTAAATCTATTGCGGCAATAACATGGCTAAGACTTTTTTTGAGAAAGTGATTCATGAAGAAATAAATGTCAGGGTGTGATTTCATAGAATAAAAATATTATCATCAGCAGGTTTCAAACCTGCGCAGTCCAAGAGAAACAGATTTTGACTCTGGTGATCACTCGACAATTTCATCTTTAGCAGGTTTTGAACCCACACAGACAGATTTAGATTCTGTCATATCAGCTGCTTGGCTAAGACCAGTTAGATTCACTTCCAATGAACCCATTCAGAAGCGAGTCCTCAAGATACATTTATCTGCATTTTGTCAGCTCTTTCAATAGCATGGTCACTGTTGATTTTTTTTTATCCTACTCTTGTTGCAAAAGACACAGACTTCCTGCTGGGGCTCTTGGCTCTAATGATTTCCCTGAAAAAGTGCTGATGGAAGACCACCACGGTGGGTCCATGAGTGAAAACTGACAATGAAAGGATCATACAGTGTATTTTTATTTTTGACGCAGAGTTCAATATATGACCAAAATCTCGATGCAAACTTGGAAGGATAAGTACAATAACAATATAATTCTTTCCAAAGGTCTTGACTTGGTTGAAGAAGAAAAAGAGCAGATTACACATCAAACTTTCAAGTTTGATCCTAATAACCTGGGGAATTAGGAAAAATACAAATCTATTAAGGCTGAGATTCTTTATTGTGCTTATTCAAGTGATTGTCAGAGTCAAAATACATTTCTCTTGAACTAAGCAGGTTTGTAATTTGTATAATGATGTGTCTTTTTCATTAACTTGTGATTCATCACATTCCACCATTTTGGATTTCATAGAATAAAAATGTTGGTATTGGCGGGTTTTAAACCTGCACAGTTGAAGAGAAACAGATTTTAAATCTGGTGACAACTTGACCAAGACCAATGAAGATCAATGTCTGAGATGCTGTCTATGGGCAAATATTCAAGACACATTCTTAGAGAAAAAATGCAACATTTGATAAGTTTCAAACTTGTTGCACTCTGATGGAAACAGATTTTGATTCTGTTATGACAGCCACTTAGCCAAGCACAACTGTGATCAGCTTGCAAGCAAATCAACCATGAGCAAATTTCAAGGTGTGTTTTCATAGAAAATAAATTTTATCACTGGCAGGTTTCAAACCTGCACAGTCCAAGAGAAACAGATTTTGACTCTAATATTGATCACTTGGCAAATTCATCTTTAGTGGGTTTTGAACCCACGCAGGCAGATTTAGATTCGGTTGTATTGACTGCAATGAACCCATTCAGAAGCGACTTACACACTTTTGCCTATTTGCTGTGCTTCCGACTTGCTTCCGCGCGCTGAGAACACACTTAGAATTACTTACATAGCACCGTGTATCTTTTGACTGTGAACAACTTTCCACCACCATCTTGCATATTTTGCACCTAAGCGCAGAACATTGCACTATTGTCTAAATACTTCTGCTTCATCTCAGAACTTCCCCAGGTCATTAGAATCAAACTTGAAAGTTTGATGTGTAATCTGCTCTTTTTATTCAACCAAGACAAGACCTTTGGAGAGAATTACATTGTTCTTGCATTTATTGTTCCTAGTTTGCATCAAGGATACTTGCATTTGCCTCTGGTAATTTTTTAGCAAAAAAGATTCCTAATTCATGCATGAAACCAACAGCAATATCAATGAAGCTTGAGATCATAGAGATGGATAAAATCAACAGCAACCATGCTATTGTAAGAACTGACAAAATGCAGATAAATGTGCCTTGAGAGTTCACTTGACAATTTCATCTTTAGCAGGCTTTGAATCCATGCAAACAGATTTTGATTCTGTCATATTAACTGCTTGGCTAAGACCAGTGAGGTGCACTTCCAATAAACTCATTCTTTACAACTGGGTCATGAGTGACAACCGACAATGGAAGGATCACATATGATTGGACTTGAGGAGGATGTGGGAAATTAATATCAGAACTGACAAAATGCAGATAAATGTATCTTGAGTATTTACTTCTGAATAGACACATCATTGTCGGTTGTCACTCATGACCCCACAAAGTCCAAGAGAAACAGATTATAACTCTGATGACAACCAATGAAGATCAGCATCTGGGATGCTGTCCATGAGCAAATATTCAAGGCATGTTCTAATAGAAAAAATGTGACATTCAACAGGTTTCAAACCTGTTGCACTGCAATACTAACAGATTTTGACTCTGTTATGACAGCCACTTGGCTAAAGATAACTTTGATAATCATGCAAGCCAATCGACCATGAGCAAATTTCAAGGTGTGTTTTCATAGAAAATAAAATTCATCATTGGCAGGTTTTAAACCTGCACATTCCAAGAGAAACAGTTCTTGACTCTGGCGATCACTTGACAATTTAATCTTTGGTAGGTTTTGAACCCATACAGACAGATTTAGATTCTGTTGTATTGACTGCTTGGCTAAGACCAGTTAGATTCACTTCCAATGAACTCATTCAGAAGTGAACCCTCAAGGCACATTTATCTGCATTTTGTCAGTTCTTACAATAGCATGGTTGCTGTTGATTTTATCCATCTCTATGATCTCAAGCTTCATTGATATTGCTGTTGGTTTCATGCATGAATTAGGAATCTTTTTGCTAAAAAATTACCAGAGGCAAATGCAAGTATTCATTGTTAAAGCGTAACAGCTGAGGCCTGAGCACTGTGAACCATGTCAGCGGAATAAAGCTAACAATCAAAAGCATGCACTCTGCTTCTTGTAGCTGTTGAAGTAACTCCACATACACAACAGTGTGCACATCCCACTCAGGCTCTTGCCCGATAGTGCGGAAATACTGAATCTCTTCTGAATGCCACTGCTCGATGTTCCCTTGCTGAATGTTGAGGGAGGCCATGGCCTCCCTTAATGCCAGAGTGTCTGTCGATATGATGTGCAGTGCCTGGCAATAGTTATTGAGTAACATAGTACCGAGGTTCATATACTTCTCTTCATCCCACTGTGCGAAAAAAAGGTCCAGGAAAACATGGTGGTGGTATGAACTAGCATAGTGAATGACAGGTGCAAGTGTATTCAATGCACTGAAAATATGTTCTGTAGCTCCAAAGTCTTCAAGACCGGCACCCTCAATTCCGAGAGGATGATGTTGAGTTTGGCAGATATAGTTATGCGCGAATCCATGGAAGGAGCCCACGCACAAATGTGACTCCTGCTCTGTGAAGGCCAGTGTAGAAACAACGATACTGAGAGGAACAAACGAGGCTCCTGACTGTATCTATAATGTTGTGAGGTCGCGTGTTGCCTAGTCTGCTATACTTGAGAAGACAAGTGCATTCGACCCTAAAGGGGAAGTGAGTGCAGCAAGGATCTGGTAGTAGGCACTGAAGGCGCTACTGGTTGGCTGATGCGAAGCGCAGGAAAGCAAAGGTGCACGCGAGGCATGGGAAGTGCTGTAGGGACTGATTCCTGGCTAGCCTTGCAGAGACTGTTTTACCTAGTAGTATGTTTGCACCTTAGCTTACATAAGGAAGTCACCTTTTCACCAGTTCCACTATGAGTCTGAGTATTCAGCAAGTTTCTATCATATTTCCTCTTCTCTGAGCCTTGAGCCTGGTCCAGAAACCCTTTAGGGTCGAATAGCAGCTAGGTTCTGCAAGACCCAACACATAGTTCAGTATTCACCATCTGAAATGTTGTACCCACAGCGCACGCGCGTGTGTGAGTGGAAACAAGAGAGAGTAAGAGTGAGTTTGCTTAAGTGATGATTAGATATTAGACAAGAGGTGTGAGCAAGCTCAGAGACAAGGTACCAAGGAATAGATTTTAACTATCTTCTGTTTGGTAGTAGGTGGGTACTCTGTGGTTCAGAAAGTGGGTAATAGTATGTACTGCTGGTGCTTAAGTATGGCGCCTAAACACTGTCATGCGGAGCCGAAGCACTACCGAGTGAGGTATGTAAAGATATATGTAAGTAAGGGTCCATGATAAGAATAAAGGTGGTATGATATGCAAATAAGGGCAAATGGAAATATACGCACTAGAGAGCTTGGTGGACAGTGGATGGATGCTTCCGGATGGCTGGCACTATAGGGCGCTCAAGCGCGGGAAAGTGCGCGTGCATATACATTGTGAAGCGCGGGAAGTGTGCGCACATGTTGCACGTTGCACGGGAAAGCTGCACCTCATATAGGAATAGCTGCGCATAGCATGCAGAGTGATGCTACAAGTTCGTGCCATGTACTCCCTAGTGAAAACTGCCATATCATGCAATGAGAGGCATGAGTCTCTACACCGGTCCCAGTGAACTTGCCTTGACTGTTGCAGAAAATCTGCAACCTATGTCGTAGGCACTGAGGGTATGATTTCTGATGACGGCAAGAACCTTGGCGACTATGGCAAGTGGATATTTGGCCCTGAGAGAAGGTATCAGTGAGGTCACATTGTGATTAAAAATACATACAGTTCCCCACTCCTCATCATATCAGTGTACCATAGGATGAGCCCATGTCTGCAGGCGCCAACAAATATGCCAGTTTCCTCAAATATGGCCCACATTCTCTTTTTCTCATCTGACGCAGCTGCCTTCCAATTTTTACTGCAGTCGGCAACATTTACATTGGTCACAACATCTGATACAGCAAGGTCCTCATTGTCAGGGTCGTCATGTAAGGGCACAGTGAAGGTACAACAATTCAGATGGTGAGTCTGAACAATGTTGGGTCTTGCAGAACCTAGCTGCTATTCGACCCTAAAGGGTTTCTGGACCAGGCTCAAGGCTCAGAGGAGAGGAAATATCATGAAAAACTGCTGAAGACTCAGACTCATACTGATAACTGGTGAAAAGATAACTTGCTTATGTAAGCTACAAAAGTGCCAACATAAGGTAAGGTCAAAACAGTCTCTACAAGCCCAGCCAGAAATGAATCCCTACAATGGGTTCAGCAGGTGTGGGGCAAGTGCAGACTTCATGGCTGAAGGTATTGACAAAATCCTGGGGGAGAAGGTAGTCACTTTCTGTGTAGACATGAGTATCACTGCATTGTTGATTGCTGAGGGTCACCATGCGCTTGGCAGAGTTTCCTCCATCCATGACATACATCTGCCTGAACTTGAGCGGTGGTTCATCTTGCAGCTCATACGAGCATGGGGGACAGGCATTCAGCACACGCCAATCGGGGGAATCATGTCCAAGGGCTACCGAGACCTGTCTATCAACATCTCGGAGGATAGAAAGGTAGATGTCAAACATCTCGGATAATATAGTACGGTACATGCGGTGGAAAGGTATCTGGACGCCCATTAGTAAATATGATAGAATCGACAACTTGACATACTGAGTATGAATCACATATCACCTTTTAAAATGCTTCAATGATGAACGATGGTTTCCGGAGGCGAATGAGGCGGTAATGCTCCAGTGTGCGCAGAGATACGGCCATTGATGGGTTATGGGGTGTATTGCCCAAAAATCCTTGGATGATGAGCAATTGGATTGGAGATACTAAATTTTCTCTTCATGGGATGTAAGCAGACATACTTAGCGTGAAGATGTCGACAACAGAAATGGTGAACAAGAGGTTTGCTGAGTCCATTGTGGAACACTCAGGTCCTGGCGGTGGCTCATATACAGCACTGCTGGCGGTTGCCTTCCACTGAAGGAATGCAATGACTAACGTGGGGAGAATGGAAGCCCGGTTGGCATGGAGTGAGTCTAAATGTTGACACCATGTATATGTGTCCTTGTACTTTTGGAATGTCCACCTGTGATCATTGAAGAGATACATGTATAGGTAAAGAAGGGACTCACAGGTGATCAATATAATCTCGGATGGCACAGACAATGCTCTCCTCGTTATTCATGTTATCTGGTAGCGGCTCAATATCCATATTCCCAAAGTCCCCATCTTCATGAGTAAGGACATTGTCCTCATTGTGCATGTCATTCAGTGCATCCATAGTGTCCAGGCCCAGACCTTTCCTTTAAGATGTGAAGCAGCGGGAAGGTAAGTAAAAGAACAAACAGACCTGAGACATCCAAATGATAGCGAGCCTGTGCTGCAGCACCCTCCTGAGTTGCTTGGGGCTGTGAGATTGTGTGCCTCTGAAGTGCCTGGGTCCTGGTAGATACTCTGGTTATCCTGATGGTACAGAAGAGGCCACGATGCCTTGAAGGTGGCATGGGGAAGGAATTGGCGGTGAAATGAGTGATATATGCAAGTTCACTGTGAAGAACGTTGAGGAAGAAGGTAATGGTCACAGTTGGAAGTGTTGTGCGTGATGACTACCAAATTGGTATGTTTGCGCTCATCATATGCAGCGGCTATTTACCAGGTCACATGTAGCTTTTGTAATTTCCTAAGGAGGCATTATTTCACTATTTATTGGCAGTGTATGGTATTTGTGAATTCTATTCTAAGAAGCCTGACATCCCCAGCCGTGTATGGCAAGCTTCTGAGGTAAGGTTTATGTGAGGTCGAGGTGGCTGCTATGTCTAAACAGACATGTTCAACCCTAAAGAGAATTGCTACTAGAACAATAACAGATATGTGCGACCTGAGAGCATGCTAAGTGCAGGAAAATAGTGGACAAGTATGCATGAGATATAGGAATATATCCAAGGCTATCCAAAGCATGGGAACACATGGCCGAAGGTGTGGAAAGTATGAGAAAGTGGGGACAAGGTATAGAGAGGTCAAGGAATGAGGTTTTAAGAGAGTGAGAGCAGAGGTATATTGCAAGGTAAGGAAAGTCTAGGTATTGAGAGATATAAGGAACTTAATAGGGGCTACAAAGTGTGCATTACAAGGGACTACTTTGAAGGTAACCTATAGGGAGAGGTATACAGTACAAGGGAAGTGTAGTAAGTAGCCCAAGTATAGGCAACTTATACTGTCTAGAATCCTACTCGGAGTAGGAAGGGATAGGAAATATAGTAAATATGCAAGGTCATATAATAAGGCTGCAACACATTTTACAAGCCTCGAGGTGAGGAAATTCACATATCAATGGGGTTTGGATGGACTATGGATAGATGAGGGACTTTCCTAATGTGTTTCCAAGGTATCTGAAGCGCGGGAATATGCATCCAATGCAGCCAATGTGTGGGAAAGTATGGGTTTGGCTTCATGCAAGGGTTATTTGCTAAATAAGGGATGGATAAGGATAGAGAAACTGATAGTGTTCTATACTCTTTGACACATATATGAAAATAGCCTCTTTCCTGCCAAGTGTAGGTCCGAGCATCACAATGGTTGGGCCTAACTGTGATGTCAGAAATTGATGTACTTGCCTAGTGTGATGAGATAAAATCTCATGATTGAGCCAGAGGTGGTGATGTACAAATGCAAGGATCAGACCTAGTTGGATGAGTTAGAATTTGATGTCTGAGCCTAATACTTATATTTGTACATCACTGTCTTTAGCCTAGCCATGAAATTCCACTTCATCACACTGGGTTCAGACATCCATTTCTGACATTCCACTTAGGCCGATCTGTATGATCCTTCTACTGTTAATGTCATTCATGGGCCCAGTCATTAATACCAAGGCATCACAAACATTATGAACCCACACATGTCGCTAAGCCTACATATAAATCCGGACCCAGTGCAGATAAATGTATCTTGAGGATTTACTTCTGAATGAATTCATCAGGAGTGTATCCAACTCATTGTAAGGATACAACAATGTCTGGACACTACACAAAATAAGCACCCAGCCAAATATAATGTTGTGGTCTTGCATAGCCTAGTCTGCTATACTTCAGAGACAAGTGCATTTAACCCGATGTAGAGACTCATGCCTCTCATTGTGTGATATGGCAGTATTTATTAGGGAGTACATAGCACAAACTTGTAGCATCACTCTGTATGCTATCTACAACTATTCCTATATAAGGTGCAGCTTTCCCACGCACATTCCCGCGCTTGAGCACCCTATAGTGCCAGCCATCCAGAAGCATCCATCCACTATCCACTAAGCTCTCTAGTGCGTATATTTCCATTTCTCTTATTTGCATATTGTTCCACCTTTATTTTTGGACCCTTACTTACATATATCTTTACATACCTTACTCAATAGCACTTCGGCTCCGCATGACAGCGCTTAGGTGCCATATATAAGCGCCAGCAGTAGATAATATTACTTACCAACTTACGGACTGAACCACAGCAGTACCCACTTACTACCTAGCAGAGCATAGTTGAAATCTATTCTTTGGCACCTCATCCCTCAGCTTGCATCTCTCACCTCTTGTCTAGTGTCTAATCATCACTTAAGCAAACTCACTCTTACTCTCTCAAACCTTGTGTCATATCCTGTATTCCAGACATGGACACATCATAGTGATCACACAATCTTCTCTGGATGTTTGGATCTGACCTGTGTTCCAAGAATATTTGCCCACATGAGTCCCCACCCTACTACTACTCATTTTTCCTTAATTCCAACTTGCTGATACATGACCACCACCTATCCATCCCCATAGAGCAGCATTGACACCTAGAGCAGCCTGGACCACTGCTATGACTTCATAGGCCTAGAAATACCTTCCAATGTCATCTAGGGACCATCAGACCTAGAGCACCTCATGTTGCTCTCCCTTAGACCCAGATGGATGCATTTTACCTCATGTATCATGACTTATAAAGGCTGGACCACTATATGACTGAAAGTCCTTATAGCCTCGTAGAGGCTGTTTTTGCGGTATCCCTCCACAGCCTATTACTTGACTACATGAAGTGCAGCTTTCCCGTGAGCCACGCACATCAGCCGCTACTTTCACATGCCAGCCACTGCATTCCCACACTTCACTGGCCTAAGCCTCGCATATCTGTCTATGTCCAACCAACCCAATGGTATATTTTCCATGATTAATATTGACATATCAGACCATTTCTGCATCACACCACCTTTATTTCATCATAGACCCTTACTTACATATAGCTTTATATACCCTACTTGGTAGCACATTGGCTTGGCTTTGTATGACAGCACTTAGCGCAATACTTAAACACTAGCAGTACATATCTTTCAGGAGCTTTTTATTATCTATCATCTCTATTATCATCTGAACCACCTGCACTGCAGCCACTTTGCAGCCACATTTTCCTATGCCTTTGGCTTTCAGCCACCACTTTTTCATGCTTTGCATCGGCTACTAAGCAGCATCTTCTGCACTCATTTCTAGACCTTTGCTGTACTAGCTTCCCTTTAGGGTTAAACACACTTGTTCTGCAAGTATAGCAGACTAAGTATTAGATGACCTACAATATAAAGATATCAGTTTGGAGCCTATAGCACCACTCTGAGTTGTGAACCTACACTGCCTCATGTACTCTTATCAGATAGATACAGATCATCATCCTACCTACTGATTGTAGCCTGGTCTGTGTACCTTTGGCCGATTGTATAGAGTAGACAGATCACTGTTGTATTCTTCACTTTGATCTACTTGGTTTTCCCTCAGAACTCCTTCAGTGAAGCCCTCATAAGCTTAGCTATCTGAACTGCACTTCTAAGATGGTCTCTACTATCTTAGTACTCTATCCAATTACAAGACTAGTGATTCCTCAGCACTTGGCAGCACATTCATGCTTGTGTTGTTAGATTATCCAAGTACCATAACAACCTGCTTCTTTTTCCTCATCTTTCCCCTTTTGTATGTCCCCTTTTAGTTATCCCTTTGTCCAGTCATTCAAGTCTGCGTGGGTTCAAAACCTGCTAAATATGACACTGTCAAGTGATTACCAGAGTCAAATCTGTTTCTCTTGAAATGTGTGGGTTTTGTTACAGTAACCCCATCATTTTCTCATCATCACTCGCAGGACTACGCATGTACCATACTTCTTGATCCCCGTCTCTCTTCTAGCGTGCCTCATGTCGACCATGAGGACTTCTCTTATCTCTGACTTCCTTTTCCTGTACTTCCACAACGCCTCATGGACTGGTCTGTGTACCACTTCTTACATATATAAACCCTAGTTACCTCTTGTACATTTCCTTAACTTGAATCTACTCAGTTCTCTCTGATACCTGACTAGGACCTGAGGGTGCCTTCTGATCTAGCTCTTTGCGAAGAGACTAGCCTTTACTCGATCACTTCGCCAGAGTTCGAGCCCCTTCAGTGACAAATTCTGTATTATACGGGCCACCCGACCTACATAATATCCCATATCAGACGGGCCAGTGGACCATGGGCCCATGTTGTGTATATCCTTGATGATGACGGATGGGCCGGGTAACATATTATCTCTGATGGAGATGGGTGGGCCCATGTATGCCAATGATATATATATCCTTGATGTTGACGGATGGGCCGGGGGAATATGATCATTCATGGAGATGGGTGGGCCCATCTGGGTAATATGTAGAGTAGGATATTATAGACAGCTGGGCTGAAGAGAGAGGTAAGGCAAATATTGTTATATAGATGGGTGGGCCGACAGGGGTGTATTACATATACGGGTGGGCCGGGGTAGCGGAATATTACATAGATGGGTGGGCTGACGTGGGGCATATTACATATACGGGCGGGCCGACATAAGGGATATCAAATAGACGGGTAGGCCGAGGGTGCGACAAAATATTTATTACATAGACAGGTGGGCTGAGGTGGTGGAATATCACATATACAGGTGGGCCGACATAAGGGATATTAATTAGACGGGTGGGCCGAGGGTGTGATAAAATATTTATTACATAGACAGGTGGGCCGAGGTGGGGTATAATTATATAGATGGGTGGGCCGACGTAGGATGTATTACATAGACGGGTGGGCCAACGTGGGGGATATTACATAGATGGGTGGGCTGACGTGGGGGAATTGTACATAGATGGGTACATATATGGGTGAGCCTAGATACATTTCATCAAGACATACAGCTGATGTAGCCACCAGCAAATCAAACATGTAGGATACATGCACACTATGAGTGCATATACCTACCATCAACCACCAAAATCTAAACCCATAAGCATGAAAACATGAATCGACCATGTGTGGCATTGACCAATAATCAAGTACTGAAGTGGGAAAACCCCACACCTGAACCCTGGTGTGCAACATATCCTATTTCTACACACGGACACCAGAAGCACAACACTCGCAAAAATATAAATGTCAAATTTTCACAGTCCCGAACCCCGAACCCTGAGATTTTACCAACTCTCAAACCCCAA